CACCACTATCACTCCCAAAAGACAGCAATTACCTCCTTCTTCTGTGGAAATGTGGACCAGTCCAGTTGCCAAGCAGAGACAAGACAGATGATCTTTTCTACTGTTTTGACAGATTATATCCATGCCACTTTAAAGAGCCCAGGCAGCTGCTGTTGATGCTCCTTACATTGTTTCACATTTCTTGACAGAAGTGAAGAACTGAAAGTGCTTCTGAACTACAATTACTGACATGCATTGATCTGGCACTACGCTATCAGATGATCTGAAGTGATGACAGCTCACGAAAGTGATGTAACGGCAGCTGAAGTTTCAAGATACAGGATTGTATTATTTTACAAATAGTCACCTCTCCTTTATAACTGAAGGAGAGTCTCTTAACTGAGACGTTGTCTCGCTTCCTAGCAACCAGCTAGTAAACATCGTGTTTGCGCCGAAGTCGTTCTCTAGTTTCATTTGACTTCCGGCATGAGGATCACATGTCTGACTAGTCTCATGACTTCACTGAATGCACCAGTGGTGAAATAACAGGTAAAGTAATATAAGGCTCCATGTTGCTGCTGTCACAGGGTACAAATTCATTAAATCCACTTTTAGAAGAAGCCTCAATATAAAACTTAAACTGTCAACATATCTCTGTGAAAAACATTAACATAAAAAAATAACTTTACATTTGAATACGCACCATTTAAACAACAGTAAAAACTGGATGATTTGGAAAAAGTTACTGATCTGTTGGACAGTGTAATTAGTAACCACAGTGGTTTCTAGTGCAGAGAGACAGAGGAGGAGAGCTAATTCAACACAGGATGAATAGCCTGGTAGTAAAATCAAAGTCCTGTCATATCCTACAGCTCCACTCTGTAATATTTCTTCAATAGCCATCAATAATCTGACTGGATTCTTTTATCAGTTGTATTGATGTGGCACATCATAGTATTTAGTGAGAAATGATTCCTCCCAGATTAAAAGTCTCTATTTTAATGGCTTTTCCCTCCTCTAGATCATCTCGTGTTGCCTGCCTAGCAACGGCATCTGGGTCTTTTCACCTTTATTGGGACTTTTGTCCTCTCTTATCTCCTTGACATATGAGGCAGGTATCTCATGTGGCACAGCGTCATCCAGCCGCATCTCCAGCTGAGATACACAGACAAATACCTCTATCAGAAACATGAGCTATTTTACAAAAGACTCCACACGCTAAAGATATTACAGACAATCACAAGGCAGTCAATTGAGAATGTCACCCCGTACCTGATGTTAAATTCTTTGAAGCAGATTACATAAATCTCCTCACCTTGTGCACAATAAAAGACACATGCAGGGTTATGACTGAGCTGCGACTCACTGGCTACCAATTTACCAACTGTGCTAACTAGTTCACTCTCTAAATAAAATAACTACATAAATAACAAGCTAAATAGATTTGAATATATGAATGAATTAATAAACCAGTAAGAGGATCTTCAGTGCATAATTTATTAGAAGAGAACACATCTGTAGACAGAGCAGTTGCAATGTTCTCCTTCCTCTAGGGCTTGCTGGAGTTTCATCATTTCTGCACTAGCACAGCTATGTCTAGTAAGAACAAACACTGTGCAGCACATCTATCAGACGTGTGCATTTTGCCAAAGCAGGAAACAAGGAAACCTTGACACAGTGGAGGACTCAGCTGATTACAAGGGATTTCAAATGCTTTGCATTCACATTATTTGCATCCTCCAAACCGCATGAAAGAAAAGAGCATGTTGTTTATCAACAAAGAACAATCACTGTATAAAGAAAATCTATTTATAAGGCTTATGCAATAGTCCCAAAACCTTTAATTAAAACAAATTCTGTTGTGTTGTCATGATAACATTATGCATGACAACATTACATACTGTAGCTTCTGTAGAAAATGAAATAACCAACATGGCATTTGTCAGTGACTTTAGCAAGGACTTATTTTTCTATACAGGTATATTTATACAGCTAATAAGGCTTAATGTGGTGTTAGGCATGGATTAAAACTCCAAGACCCACCTTGTAATGGGGGATTTCTTAAGGTGATTATTTATTAATCCACAGGAACCTACTGCCTTGCCCAGGGATGAACCCATGTCTGCACTGAACCCACTCACAACCTCGTGCCAACTACCGAAGCAGGCTATGCTGGGATGACTTGGCACCACATGAATAAGAAAAGCTTGCTGTGGTGTTCCTCTGTGTTTTGGCGTTAAGGAAGCAGTGTGCACTGACCATGTGTAGGTTTTCAGTTCCTGTTTTGTGCAATGCAAAATTATGTAATTTGGTGCTTTTGTTAGGCTTTCTGGCACCAAATCCTCATACAAGACTTTATTTTACAGTCCCTCGTCTCCGATAATAGGTGTCAGGCAGGCACTTCTCGGTCTTGCATGCTTTCAAATGACTCCACTGAAATCCCTGAATTCCACGGTTGCTACTTTTAGCGTGCACGTCTTTCTTCTCCTCAACCTGTGTAGGACAGAGCCGGCCTACAATGACAGCAGAGCAGAGCTTAGCACATCATTACAGTGTGTGATGAATATTTTAGCACACCGTAGTCGGCGAGGGGGACATATCCTTTTTACCGGTGCTCCCTATCTTCGTTTTTGATCTGCTGTAATGTGCCACTGAATCCCAAAGTCCTACTCTTTGCCTGCCATTCTGTGTCAATGCCATCCATAATAGATAGAGCCGAGCCATTCACATTACCATTAATGGCAATGTGTAATGTGGGGGCAATACATTCCCATAAATTCCTAGTCATGGCTGGACTGGCCCTTACCTCCACCCTGACAAACTTAACTAGTCATCCATCAAGGTAATAAGATAAAATCAAGATTCTGTGAATGTTAGACATAGGGGTCACAGAAGGGGTTGGGTGACTGCCCTTGATATCCTCCCTTGCATATGTTGCTTTAAACTTCAGAGAAGGATCAGTGCAAATGGCATCATTCTTCTTCTCTCCACTACAATGTCCTCCACATCTCCTTGAAGTAAATCTAGATGGCTTAGAGTGGTCTTATTTTCCTCAACAATAAATTGAAGTAGACAGTTTGAGAGATGGTCTGGCTTGAATCTAAGGCTTAGTGAAAGCTTTCCTCTCCCGGCTATTCTATGAAGGTTGTGGAGTGGTCAGTCTACATCAAGACATTCTGCATCATTTGTACAGCCACCATGGCTCTTAGTAAAACTAATAAGTTGCAGGCATGGACAAGAGTTGCTAATTGGGTGAGAGTCTCTTGCTGTATCAGCTGGCCACGAGCGAGCCCCTGATAATGATACATGTCCACCTTCCTAAAATAGGCTGTCAAACTGCAGAAACACAGGTTGGTCAACAACTTAGACTCCATGTGACTCCGAGAGCTAAGAATAAGCAGAAACCTTAGCACATTAACAGTCACCATGAAGTCAGCCAGCCATCAAAGACGGGGTATTAATAGATCAGAACTGTGTCTTCAGCAACAACAACAGCAGAAAGTCTGGAATTGCCAGTTTAAGGCCCTATGGCTGTTTTACCTACAAAATCTTCAAAGAAATAACTTGCAAAAAAAATAAAAAATTAAATAAAAAATATATATACACATTATGGGGACGGCGGAAACCAAAAAGCCACAACATCAAACACGGAGCGACTTTCTATTTCTTCTCACCCAATTATGATTGAAAGATTTATCATAAAATTGTATTCCAGAAGAAAAGTGCACACCGTAATTGAAGCCTCTGATGCTCAGTCCCTTTGACGCTCAGTCCCTACTTAAGTCAGGTTATGTATAAAATAACACTATGACTAATGATGTAGAGAGACAACAGCATCAAAAAAAAAAAAAAGAAAAAACCAAAACATCTGCACGAGCCTCTGAGCTCGCTTTGTTGACCGTGAATACTTTCCCTCACCACGGATTCTGTTACTTGATGCATTGTGGGAAATGATCCATTGAGAAATAACACAAGCGATGATAGGTCATAAATAGTTAATGCTATTGGAAGAAGTTTGGAGTTTGAATGTATTCACACACAGAAGGGTGGAATTCTTGAGATACTTGCGTCCAGATGTCTCGAGTATTGTGCATCATCTTGGCTTTTGCTTAATCTGAAAAGAACATTTCCTGACCTACTTATTGGTGCTCTACAACTCAACCTGCTATATATTTTATATTTTGCTGCAGTGAGGCTGTTTTTTTTTTTCCCTTGCTGTTTTATGACCATTCTCTGTAAGGCAATGAGCAACGCTGAGCGGCGTAAAGAGCCTATTTTTGATCACAGGCAAAGGTATTCACACCGAGTCAATTAGGTTGGACACAAAAGGACACTCTCTCCACCTGTCCTTGAACGCTTGCTTTCACACAGCTGTGATGTCAAGGAAAAATAACATTCTTGCCAGTGGGAAGTCTTGAGACCATAATGATTTTATATTTACCCAATGCTAATGTCAGAATGCCACACATAAATAAAAAGAAAAACTCTCAAATATTAAGGAATTAAAGAGATTTCCCAGTACGTTCCCACTGAGCTTTTATGTTGCAAAGCTTTAAAAAGAAGCTCTTTTGAATTAGCAATACAGTTTTGACTTTGAAATTACATAAGAATTCCTGTCACTTGTATTCCAAACCACAGCTAGTATAATCAGAGGTGACAAATAAATAAATGCGGTATGATATTTCAGCTGATTCAGTCGCTTGACATTGCGTCTATCCTTAGTCGAGCAGGCCTTTTAGGAAAGTGAATACTGTCCACCGCAGTGGGATTTAACCATGTGTGCTGCCAGTCATACCGGGAGTGTCTGTGACCCCTTGACCATGAAGCCCATTCATTGATTGTCTTACAACAAGCCAGCGCCACCCCCCTCTCCTTTTGCGGGCCCAATGCAACTGCTTTGCCACGCATCATCTTCGCCTGATCTGAAACAACAACAGCCATTCAGCTGCTGCTTGGCCTTTCGGCAGGCCGAGTCCTCTCAGCCAAACCACACAACTGGTGAACTGTTTCTGTTTACTCACCCTTTTGCCCTCTTTGCCGGGTTCCCCTGGCTGACCTGGCACCCCAGCCGATCCCTGGGGAGAGGACATGCATAATAGTGAGTTGGGTACTATATCTGGCATCGCAGGGAGATATTATGACTTCTTTCTCGGAAAAGACTGGAGCAGACAGATGTTTGTGCCACATGCTCTCAGCAGAGTGGTGCATAACTGGCGGGCTTATTTGCAATGATAGGAAACGCCGCATTAGTGTAGTTAAATCGCAGGAATAGACAGAAGGGAGTACGTACAGCTGTAGTTTCTATTCTCACTTATGAACAGCTTCTAGGTGACTTCTCCACTATCCCCCCTAATAGGCAATTTGCAGCCTCAGTTGATCAGAGCTTCATTCCATTATTCTGCAAAGTATCTTGATAAGAAACTATTAGCAAGTTAATCAAGGTATATGCTGAGTCGTGATTTTGTTTTGAAGTACTTGTGCAAGGATATGCTTATGGTGCTCCAATAATTGCTTGGTGAACCTAATAACTGTGCTTGATTGAGAGAGAGCACGTTAAGTGCACTTTGTCCAACACGAAAAACAAATGCATATTAGATTCTCGACTTAAACGTGGTGATTATTTTGTTACCTTCTCTCCTTTGTCACCTCGAGGGCCCTGAAAGAGGCAAATTAAGATTTGTGTTTACATTAAAAACAAAAGCACATATATACAGGATGTCTGAGAGAAAACAACAGCTACTTAAAGTACCTGATCTCCTTTGAGGCATTTGTTGTCAGCCTAAGAATAACAAAGGAGAAAAAAAAATCAGTGAAAACACAACACATATGATTCACTATATGGTATACAAATACATATTTACGGGTTATAGTCAAGCGAAACAACTGTTCCTGAGTAATTATTCTTGACTGTGACGACCTGAAGATAAGATAGGGCACGACTATCACAACTCTCCAGACACCCTGCTGGCCACTGTCAGGAAAGGGCAGACAGAGTCGTCTATCCACCAGGCCATATAATGAACACAAGGCCACATACAACATCTCAGCTTTCAAATACAAGCCAAATAATTGGTGCTCTATTTCAATCGGCATCCAGAAGTCAAAGCCTGTTGACTTTTCTTGGAAACAGCTGCAGAAATGGACATTTGCAACAGATGTCTTTCATGTTACTCAGACGTTTCACGCAAAGTAAGACAATCAAAAATAGTTAACGAGGAAGCTGACAAGCCAAAGATTTTTCGCATGTATAGAAAGAGACAGCTCTGACCTGTGACACCGTGCATAAAACATGCCACAGTCTCCCTGCAGTTGTTTTGCTAATAAATTAATTATTCATAGACAATGGTGCAATGATCTTGAGCTGTATTGTGAGCACAGAGTCTTGACCTTGTGGAGCGAGAAATACAAATCCACTAGCAACAAGTCTGCACAACTTTAACAACTTCCTCCCAGCATGTCCTGCTCACACTCACACTTAACTAGCAAGACGTGAGAAAGTTTGCAACAAAAAAAGTGCATGTTTGCTTGTCAGGGAAAGACCATTACTTTGCTTGTCTTTATAAATGTAAAAATAGCATTAGAGAATGGCTAATGAAAGGTGGCAGTGTTCTATGGGTATCATAATCACTTCGGTGACATAAAAGGGGCAAGCCAAAAGCAGTGGGACGCAGTTTTTTGTATCACTTTGGCGCTGATTAAAACTGGCAAGCTTATCCCCTCATGATGTGCACATAATTAGCCAACCACCCGCAGTATACCTTTAATCTACAGCAGCCGTCAACTCCCTGGTGACAATGCATCGGGAGCATGTGTGTTTACATTCGTGCCCACAAATTTAACTGCATGTGTTGATAGGTGACTATGCAAGTATCTGCGAGCGTACATATCTGCCATCTGCTGACACATGTAACTTCAATTTGCGTGTGCAATGGAATGGTATGTTTTCTCTGCCCTGGATTTTACATGACCAGAGAAAAAGCACAGCCAGTCCAATTATAAGATCGAAATACATAAAGCGTGGTATATAGTTCCTCCCGGGTGTCTGTAAGTGCAAGAAGTCTGCAGAGACAGCCACCGACCCAATAAGTGCATGTCTCACCCGTGTAGGATACAGCCACTGACTGCCTGTCAACCTCCACCCCCACCCCAAGGCTCCGATCTCCATTCTTCTCTGCCTGGCTGCTCATCCCTATCCTTTTCGGCCCAAGTGAGGATGCCCACTGAGCCCTGTCTATCTGCTCCTTGTTTGACCCATTCCCAGGCGACGGTAATGTGACACAGAGACTGCTCACCTGAGTGCCTCACTTTCCATCTCTGTGAGCCAGATGTTTTAACACTGTGTGCAGCGCCTGGCCAGCCAAAAGGCTGTGATATTTACAAAGCCCAGTCTAGCCATTTCAGGTCATACCCTCATGAGTAGATTTCAACATTTCTCGTTCTCTTGAATGTCCTCGCATATAACTGATAGTGTAATGAGATGCAAATGAAAAAGTGTGAACTTACAGGCAACCCTGGGGTTCCAGGCAGCCCCACGTCGCCCTGGACAGGAAGATGATAATTAGTGAAACTTCTAAAACTCCACTTCATAACATCTTTATCAGCTAAATATATACAATGCACGTTTGACTATTAACCATCTAACCCAAAGGCCATTCATCATGTGTGTGGCAGGTCAGGTGAAATAAGACGGACTATGCATAGCATTTCAATATATGCATATCTACGCTATAGAAGGCCATTAACTGGTATTTACAGTATGTCATGAAATGAAGCATGTCTGACGAATCCCCACTGTCAGACAACTGGCAGGTGGGTTAGCGCTATTAAATCTGACAGGCCTTAAAATAAACATAGCCGTGCTGTATCATGTGAAAGCTTTACAGTATTAACAATGGACAGGCATGATAACATTGTTTGGTGACTCTGACATACAGAGAGTCACAAAAAGTCTTATAAGGAAAAAAGTAGATGTCTTTTCACACCAGCATAACCCAGTACAAGCAATGATCTCGATGCTTTTTACTGCTTGTCTTGTTTTTTTGTCCTTTAGGATGAAAAACTTGTGTATCACTGTCCAGTATTTCTGCAGTTCTATCCCCTTTTCACCATAATCCCAACAGTACTTTAAAAAGCACTGAGCTGAGAATCAGTGGTCTTTACAGCCGGCAATATCCTTTTATCAGATGTGGATGAAAGAGAATGAAAAAAAGAAAAGAAAAAAGGTGCGTGTAGTTCATATCCATTTTGTTGTCTAAATGAATGTCACAGCTAAAATATGCTTGCTATGGGATATTCAGGGGACTCATTACTTTATGCTTCCAAATCTGCCTCCCTCTGTCAGTTTCAATACAAACAAACGTTCCCCCCACCACCCCCACCCCCCGACATCCCACCCTCCCATCCAGAAAATAGGATAAAATACCCTGTGATTCTCTGTTGTCTTCACAGAAACACACAGACCTCATTATAACTTCAAGGCTGGCAGACAGTGCATTGCACCTACAATTATGCGGTGAGTTCTACCAAAAGACAACAACAAGGAAGAAGAAGAAGAAAAAAAAATAAAAAAGAGGCCCCAATAAGGGAGGAAAATAAAAGAGCAGGAGATATGGCAACTAATTACAGGAAAAACATCCCATCTTATACATGGAAAATAATCCCACGGTGGGATGAAAAGAAAAAGAAAACTTTAAAAAGACCAATATTTTCTACATTGCAACATGATAATCTAATTCATGTCGCTGATGTCAGTGAACAGACTATAAAGGGGCTGCAGATGAAGAACATGGTTTTGCATCAAACCCCTCCTCTGCAATTCCAGCTCGTCTTAAATCCCAGGCTTACGAAACCAGCCACAGCTTACTGTACAGGATGTACCTATGTAACTATTGGATTCATAAAATATAAACGCAAATGCCAAACATATTCCAATTCACGTCCCTATGAGGAGTCCCCAAACCAGAAAGCAATAGTGTGCAATTCACTTTTTTTTTTTTTTTCCGCTGTGGGCTTTAGACTCATAAAGCAACTGCTGAGAAAGGGCCAGATAAAGGAATTTATTGCGTATGTCCATTATAAACACATATTCCCATGAATATACAAAAACCTCTGCAAATACAGCAAGCAGAACATTTTTCTCAACGGGATAAAAGCTGCTCTGTATGACCATCGATAAGGTCTCGCAAAGTTATGATAGCTATAACAATATTCTTTAGCTGGCGATGTTTGGAGTAGCAATGATAGCAGCACTTCAAACAGATGGGCGAACACATTATTGAGATTACAGCTGGTGAAAGTCGAGCAGATTCTCTAAAGTGTATACATATATATTTTTTTTATCAATAAAAGAAAAACAATTATAGTGTCACTTTGTCCAGCCCAGTATGCACGGCACACTCACTCACTTTGGATCCTTTAGGACCAACTGGACCAACTGGCCCTGAGTCACCTTTCAGACCCTGAGAACGAAAAACAATATATACAACACACTGATGAGGTAGATTTCCTTTCAGTGAGAATGATTAACGTGGTTATATGTGTTACTGTATGTCAGTACACTCGCATGCAGGAGTGAGATTCTCATGCCTGTCACGAGCGGTCAACGAGAACGGAGCAGGTAATGTCAAAACTCGGGGACGCTGCGAGATTCTGCTGAGAGATTCACAATCAGCTCGTTACACTGTGTCTAACCTCCCCCCCCTTCAACCCTTCGCCGCCTGTTTTCCCCGTGCTGCACTTCGGTTTAGCAAGGACAGTGGTTGTCATTGCTTCTACACCTTGAAGCAGGGAACCTGAGGGGGGGTGGTGGTGTTGGGGTGGTGGGATTGAACTACACAAGCTCAGGGCAAAGTCAAGCCTCTCGGTGGCGAAACGCGAAAGTGGAAGGACAGCTCAGATAAAGAGTGATAGCTGATGAATGAGGCTTGACACATATTGACAGGCTAAATTTGAAGCGAGCCTTGTTAGGTGTGACACATTTGGGCCAGTAGCACCAACTCTTTGAAATAGGTTATGGGTGGAGAGGAGGGGGAGGGGGGGAAACAGGGAGCGTGAGCGGTCTGTAAAATGACTCAGAAATACAATAATTTGTCATGGTTAAATTTAGAGTCAGATAGGCTATTAATAGTGAATTATATATCTGCAGAGGATGATTACCTACCCTTATCACATTAAGTCTTGCTACCAGAGACGTGACTAATTCATTGCATTTTCCCCTGCAAGCCTTGTCTGAAACACTACCATTCAGAAAACAGGGGGCCGTGGTAATACTGGGCTAAAACGATCGCCTCCGTGCCATGCCAGATACAGTTACACGGCCTCCCCATAAGTTGTGCGAACAATGAAATGACTATGATGTTATTTTATAGGATTGTATCAGTTTATGTGTCCCGCAGCCCACACACACACACTGTCAATAACAGGGCAGCTGTCTCATCCCCGCGCATGTGAGCCCAGTTCTTAATTTAAATCAACAGCCTAACCACTTTTCAGGGGCAATCTCACACAAGGGGATCCAGAGGCAAATTTCCCACTTAGGTATTACCAGAGCTGTGGCAGAAATTAAGGAGCGTCGGAGGCTCATCTGATAACAAGGACGTAAACAACTTCAGACTCTGTTGATTACAGGAGGATATTTGACTAATCAATGAATTATGCCACCAATTTTGTAATAAGGAGATTTTGTCTAATTATTATGATGAAAAGGGATCCTGCAACATAAACATGTTTTCTTGTTATTCAGAGAAAGGGAGCAGTAGGCAGATTTGTGCTTGTGAGTTAAGGGAAGGGAAGTCAACCACATGTCTAAAATGATATTAAATGCATTGTTCACTTGTTGTTGACTTGGCAAAAAAAAAAGGTGTTCCTTAGAGAGTCAGATTTAGAAATAGTTACCCCCTTTTCCTCACAAGTGGCAAGAACAGATGCAAGATCTGTGGTTTGCATGTCTCTGAAACGTAAGAAAAACATCTGCTGGTGCTCAAGCATCACTTTTTTATAGGGCATCTGTTATATTGATCATCAAAAATTGGTCACTCCTCAATATATAATAAATCTCCATCCAAGGCACAGAATATATTGGAGATATGGATGAGCTATTTTATCAGCTGAATAAAGGGAAGACTGACAGGGGCTGTTTTGTCTACCCCACACTGTTTCAACCCGCGAGTCATTATTAACAAACAATTAATAGTCACTGCTGCAGGACGCCATCACACTCCTGATCTCTCCAGACTGCAGGCCTCCACCATTAAATCTGAACTAACTGGATAAATACTTTAAATTTGTAAGCTATATGATATAGCCTCTGATGCATTCATTTTATATTTACAGTTCAGTTAGTATGCTCGACTACAAGTAGGAATTCCTTTAAAAAAAAAAGCAATTTTAATAAATCTAAGCCTACATTTTTGTGGTATTACAATGGAGTTAAAAGTCTGTTTAACATGAAGCCCCCAAAACTACTATATATGTACATCTTAAACAACTTGTTCTGCCTATAGGACTGCCATGTTTAAGTTGGACCTACTAACTTATACTATTTCTATGTAGGCTTTGTGCAGTCATAAATATTTAGGTAATGTTTTACATTACTTTTGCAAAATGAACTTCCCTCCCCCAGCATGCTCTGCTGCAGACTGTAGACACGAGACAATATGTTTACAAAAGAGCTGACAGGGAACTGCCATAATTCAAACTGAATAATACAACTGGAATAAACTTTTGTAAGGTGGTGAGTTATTTTTCCAGTGGCACAGCATGTCCTTATCAGAAATTCAGGTCAGACAGAAGCTCAGTGAGCCAACAAGTCACTCTCTCACCATATATTGAACGATAGTCATTCACCCTGTTTTGCAGTCAGACTAAGTGTCGCAATTGCCATAGTAGCTAATCTGTGTTCCACAAAAAAATGTTTTCTGCTGGTAAATATTTCAATTACAACAGTCAACAAAGCAGTTTTACAGAAAAAAAAAAGATTCTGAATTTATTAGGTTTGCCAAATAGTGAAAAATGCACACTGATGAAAGATACTGTGGCAAAAAAAAAAATCCATTTTTGATGGGAAAAAAAAAAATTGGCACAACAGTGGGATTATTCAGATGACAGTGTTGTCAGTGACAGCCGCTGTGGGACTGCACAACATCTGGACTTGTCTGTTGCAATGTAGAAAATAACATCCAGAGCAATTAAAAGTGAGCCCTCACTTTTTTTTTTCTTTTTTTTTTTTTGGCTGAGGTTTCTGGCAGTCTTGCAAATTTTGCATTAAATCTTATTTATAGACGTGCAAAAAAATTACACACAATTACCAGCACACTATGCTCTCTGAATTCATTTAGAGTTGGTGCTTTGAATATTTCCATATATGTATTGGTGCTATGTCATAACTTAGGCTACAAATAGTGTTTGTCAAAATAAAACCGGTTCCTGCAAAACAGTTTTGTTTTTTGTATAAAAAGCTTTTATGTGACAGAAGTTAGCTACACTGTAGAAATGATGCTATGACATATTCTATTCATCTACCTATATCCTTTGGAGTATCAGAAATCCAATATAATTAGCAAGTGTTGCATTTAATAAAACTAATACATGACGAGATTTGTTCCAAAGTTCTGGATTAAAATCAGTCAAAACATACTTGTTGTCACTGTTAGAAATGTTGCATAACTTGATAGCGGCTAATTTTATACATGTTTCAGTGTATAGAGTTGAGCAAGGACACAATTTCTGTCCCTTCATCCAAACCTCCACCTACAGAGATTTTTATTTTATTTTATTTATTTATTTAAAGTAATAAAACTGTCTTGTTAAAGTGAAATTAATTTTTAAAAATAAAAATGACTTTTTTTCCCCCAATCAGTTATTTAACAGAAAAACTAAACATTTATTGGAGTAGAGAGTAAAGTAGAAATGGTTGATATACTTTTGATATTTGAATTATATCAAATATAACAATATATCTTTGTAAGATATCTTTGTATGACTATTTACACCACCTCGAGTCTAGTATCGATGAAAACACACGTGCACTAAACACACAGACCGTAAGAAAACCCATTCATAGTTTGTAAATGTTGATTTGAATCCATCTATCCATCTATCCATCTATCTATCTATCTATCTATCTATCTATCTATCTATCTATCTATCCATCTATCTATCTATCTATCCATCTATCCATCTATCCATCTATCTATCTATCTATCTATCTATCTATCTATCTATCTATCTATCTATCTATCTATCTATCTATCTATCTATCAGGAAATTCCTGGTTGCTAACGGACCAATAATTGAGATGTTGTTCTGAAAACACTCAGTTTCATATAGTCTCAAATGACCAACACTTGAATTATTCTGGTATTATGTATGTTCATGATTGTCAGACAGGTCCAGTCTTTAAAGAAAGAAACATCTAATGATCCCTTAAGGGAAAAAAAAAAAAAAAAGTATGTTTTTTTTTCCTCCTCATCCTACCTTCCACATCATAGCCTAGTTAAGATGCTGCCCTTCTATCTAATGGACTCAGTTGTGAGCCCATAGGCCCAATTCAGGTGCACAATGACATGAAGGGAGATGTAGACTTGAAGGTGGGGGGGTGGAGCGGATATATTGTTAGCTTCTGTTGCAAGCTGTGGGCTTTGTTGCATTTACGGGGAGGGATGAAGGAGGGAGAAGGGGCTGGGAATAGGCTGGTGCTGGCTGTGTGGCAGTTGTTCCTGCAGCACGAGGTCAGAACACTGTGGGGAGCTGTGTACACTTGCCTGCTAATTACACACACCACTGTGTCTCGTCACTCCTGTAGCGGTGGGGCCACAAGACAATCTGGCAACTCCCCAGCACAAGGCAACTAAAGCAAGCAAATAAACAGAGCCGGGGAAGTGGGGATGAACAAATGCAGCCTAATTATGTTTACTTATACCTTTTACCAAGCGGAGCAGCTGCAGGTCATACCCTTGTCTGACAAGAGGTAGAAGGATTGCGAGTTTGAGTTATTGTACACAAATTTAATCATCGCAAACTAGGTTTCAGGCCTACTGGGTGGAGGATAAATTAAAATAGTTGTGATATACTGGCTATCCTGAGCATTTAGGTGGGGAGGGGGAATGTGGATATAGCGAATGACAGGCCTTTAAAGCTCCGTGGAACAGGATCTGTAAGTAACATAGATATCGTGAGCGCCTGCCTACAAATGCCAGGGAGGTTACAGCAGGAAATGCCTTTTGTGACTTTCCATTTGCTCAGCGATACGCCACCACATACAGTGTAGCATAAAACTAATCACACTGACACTGGACAAGACTATTAGCATGTCTATTACACTCTGTGAAAAAAAAAAAAAAATCCGGTTTACCGAGGTAACCTAAACAATGATCCATTGTGTGAGGATATCAGAGTACACTGTCAGAGATCCTCCGGTGCAGAGGATATCATGTTCTATCACTGTTGCTTGACTCTTTTTTTTTTTTCTATGAAACTTCACTCTTCGGCTGAACATCTCGTATCCACGAATGTAACTTGAATTACCCACAAGATAACACGCTGTGCACTCCTTCTGTCCCATAGGAGGTGTATCTGCAAAGCGATACTAGATCACATGCTCATACATAGAATTCTGGCTTCTCAGGTGTCCACTCGAGCTTTAAATAACATACTAGCTTTAAAAATGGAATATGAGCTAATTGCAGTAAAAGGACGGATCGGGTAATGGAGTCTGTCACGGTAAATAGGTTAACTGAAATCATCGAGTGAGTTTGTTTGCACAAAATAAGCCTTAATAAGCCTTTAATATGGTTGCACTCAATGATCGTAAGCTATTATTGAGTGAGTTAAATCTCGTCTTTCTGTTTTTGCTGTATTCACCGAGGAGCATTACAATTTACTGAAGTTAAAGTTGAATTATCTGTTTTGACAGGAGCAGTATAAGACACAGAACAATATTTCATTCTCTAGCTGAGTGTTGTTTTTTTTTTTTTTTTTTTTTTAATATTGAGGCAACTGAGACAAAATCAAACTGAACCAACTGGGTCAACCGCCGCTCGATGACAGATTCAGCGATATCTAGCAGTATTTTATATTCTATATAGAGTATCAGATATTTATCCAAAGACACGATCCACATTTGTAATGTTGCAGAATAGCTGCTGTCTAGTTACTGCAAATAAGGCCTGAGGGACTTTTGAGTCTTTTAGAACCGATTACTGTAAGTGATTAACTGGTAAGAAGGGGCAGCCTTATTGCAGTCTTATTTAGTCGATGAGGCTCAACTTCATCCACTCGTTTATGGAGACACTTGGGATACTGGTTTTAACCTATTAATCCTCCTACTGCTCGGTGCTCACTGATGAGACACGGGGATGGGTTACATCCTATCTTTTATTCCAGTGTCCTGCCATCATATTAATCTAAATCAAATACAAGGGTTAGGTCAAGAAATCAAATAAATCATAGAAATAGCACAGCGGCGGAAAAGACTTATTATGAACATCCCATCACAGTATGATTTATACTGTAATTCCTTTGGAGGGTAACTCTCCATAGATTTCTTTTAGAAGGATGCATTTAAAGAAAACGTAATGCGTTGTATTGACTGTGATGAATGGTTGAAGCTTATTTGCTAAAAACCACTTAAAGAAATGACCAATTCTGACAATCATATTTATAATGACAGTTGATCACATGACTAAAAGACTTGAAAAAAAAATGTTGGTTGACATTCATCAGATGGTCAGAAATTCCATTTTAAATGCACGTTAATTCTGCTGGTGTGGTTGACATAATATCTTAACCCTTTATGGTGCAAGTGACCATATTTGGTAACTTCCTTGGACGTTCCTGTGTCTCTCCTTGAGGTTGAAGAACCATGTGCACTTTGATTTAGGTTTTATATTAGTGCCAGTATCACTAAAATGTCACAAAACAAATGTTCCAGGCACTTTACAAACATTTTATTACTGGTTGCATTGAACACCACTTGAGAAATATCATTACCTCAAACTAAAAAGCTTCTAAATAAATGTTTTTTGCAGTTTGTTACTTTTTCTTTTATTATAAATTCCCTTTTTAATTTTTTTTTATTTTATCATAGATGGGTAAGTTACCATATATGGTGAGTTTATCAATCTTGATTTGCAACATTTATTTTTTTTAAAAGTCACAACGTAAAAATATCTTGAATTATCAGTATGTTCAATCCAGTGTTCACAGAAATCTTCAAATCCTCATAAAATATGTTAACGCAGCAAATAGATATCAAAGATTTTTTAGTGTACAGTTCGTAAGTAAATAAAAACTTTTGATCACGTAAGGAAGAAATGGACAAACATGTACTTCACTAGCACTTGACTATATTTAATAGAGTATCCACTGCAGAGCTGGTTTACTATCAACAACAGAAATTGTCTGTTCTTTAGGGAACCGTCTGGCATTTTTGGAAATACACTTGTTTTCCATTTTACTCAGTGTCAGATAAAATGATATGTGTCAGTGTCATCTCTGTGCTTTCATACAAAGACACATCCAAAACAATGTTTACCCACCTTAGCTCAAAGACAAAGCCCAGGCGGTTCTTGGATGTATTGATGACTAGCTTGCTCGATAACAAAATACAGCAGGTTTGACGCTGTATTCACTTTTGATTTAGCTGGACCAGCTGTCTTTGTGCAAAGATATATCTAGATCCAGCCGTTATTATCAATAATGTGCATCTGAAATGGCGGGCAAACGCGTCTGCTAAAAGCAATGCTTCACAAGTACAATTTCTCTACTTTTCTTTGTTTTAAATCACTCAAGGAAGTGGGGCACAGTATAATAAGTCCCTAGAGGGCATGCATGGTGAGCTATGTGAGCGTGACCGAAGAAAACCCAACCGCCTAGGGTTGCACAAAGATCAAAAGCAAGTCACTTCTCTAGGAAAACATACTTGTGCCCCAGACCCAGACTAAAAGCGGTGGCAGGAGATCGGTGGAAAAAAAATTGAATCGTTAGTTTTCGTATATCTAAAGGCTGACTGTTTACTGACATAAGAGAGAGGATCTCTTTTCTCGGCGCAAAGTTTCCGACTGAGCGCCACTAACGATGATGGCTGCCACGTACACAGAGAGCAGAGGGGAGCAGGACGGCCTCTCAGCAGGGCCTTGGTCCAATTCTGCCACTGGAGCAACTCACTGCACTTTTCAGAAACCCCCTGGTGATGGCAATTCCAAAAGCAACCTCCATACATATTTGGTGACAAGTACATTCATGCATATATCTGGATAGTTTTAATTTGTGCAGCAGTTACAGATGAACATAATTGCAATGCATGTGGCTTTACTCGATTTACTGAGGTGCAAAAGAACATATAACGACTGAGCAAAGTTTTGCAGCTGTTTTTGTTGTAAAAGTGTGAGAAACAGTCTCAGTCACTCCACAGTGAGCAAGTTTCCTCCTACTTCCAGTTTATATACCGCTGAAGTCCAGTCAACAACGAGAGAGAGAGAGAGAGAGAGAGAGAGAAAAAAAGAGAGCTATTCACAGTCTCCGTCACTCTTTCCTCCTTATTGCTGCAGCACCAGCAGCAATCAGGAAATAATGCACATGATCCAAAGGAAACATGTACATTCACAGCCTTCCATCATAGTTTGAGTAATGTTATGACAACAAATCAGTCCGTATAAGATGTGCATGGGGTGAATTTCCCATTAGGTGGTCTCGCTCTCCTTCGGATTTCTATGTAAATAAACTTGATCATGTCATTCATATGCTAATGTACAGATGACGTCAAGTGGCTTTTCAAGCTGTCAATTGCTACTTACCTTAGAACAAAGGGAACCATGCTGGTTGTTGGGGGACAAACTAATGCCTGAACTTGTACCCTGTTGCTTTTTTTTTCTTTGCTCTCCAGCCTGAATTTTACTTGGTTTACTGCTCACTTGCAATTACTTTTATCTAAGGTATCCCTTTCAGGCTTATGCAGAAAAAAAAATAACTGATGGAGGTTGATAAGAAGCAAGTACGGAACAAGTACAGAATCCAAGCAGGCGGAGCTGATCCTTCCTAGTTTATCCACTAACTTAATCTTTTATATTTTTTTTGTAAACAACAGCAACAGTAGGCTGTATGAGAGGCATTTATTGGTGCATAATGCTTACAAACCATAGAAGCACAACTTCTAATTCCACTTATGTGGTTTATCCGTTATTTAAATCAGGATTATCAATCTTTTAACCAAGCACATTTTCACAGACATTAGTGTAGAGCAATCATAAAAGTGGCGAAAAAAAAAAGAAATTTAGGAAACAGAGAGATAATCCTATGGATAATATCAGTAAATACTCCTTTGGCTCGGCATACTTATGTTTATCCCTATTTTTCCTCCCTTTTCCGTGCTCCTCTCTGTTAGGGCACAGCGTCGGACCGCAGAGCCTGCAGGGAGGCTGATTTCTGTGGCAGCTGTTTGTCGACTCAAGGAGGAGACGGTGATGAAAACAAGTCCCTTTATTAAGCCACTTTAAACTGACCATCTGCACAGCTTCCTGCAAGTCTACTGAGATCGCACCATTGCGGGCAAACGAATGCAACACAGAATTTTAAAAAAGCACTTTTATTTAATACTTTAAACCGAATGAGCACAAATTTGCTTGCGGCTAAAACAATCTAAGATCTGAGCCGAATTGTTACTAATTTCTAATGCATTTGTATTTTTTTTAAATGGTTATATCCAAGTCCTTCTTATTGTGGTTTATATTACATACATTAGTTTAATCACTGCAGTCAGATTTGAAAGCATGCAATAAAGTGTAACCTGAAATGACACAGAAAGGACTTACAGTAATTTGAAAAATTAGTTTTGTCCATTAGTATGCCAAGCCCATAGTAGTACACATATCAATTAATTTTTACTGCAGAAGGACATTGCAGGCTAGAACACACTTAGATCTACTTCAGATATGACAAGCACCTGAAAACAGCCATATAGAAAACTGTGCTTCGCTCCCACCCCCAGGGCATCACACAGAAAATGAAAAGCCTATAAGAATTGATTCCCTGACGAAACTAGATCTGGTTGATGTGCTATGTATGGAATATATGTCTGCTGGAGATAGTAGTACTTACCTTCTCTCCATCGATTCCCTTTTGCCCTTCTGATCCAAGTTCCCCCTGCAATGACAAGATTGAAAGTTAAAAGGCAAAGAAAAGACTCTTAAAAAGTTTATACTCTTTCTAATTTTTTTCCCCCCACTTTTACACCCAGTAGCTTTAAACCAAGATTAAAGGGGGGGAAAAAAAAAACAAAACATGGTCGCTCAGAAAAGCTTTGAGCTTTTTTAAAGTGTCCCATAGATGATCAGATATTAATTACCCAACCTAATGAATACATTAATCCATTTTTTTCCCCCTTAAAGCATCAAATGATTTTTAAAAAACTATTTTCCTATAAATGCAAATGTAAGCACCAATGGATTCCACAGTCGAACCACACCACCGTACAGGCTGGTGCTGCTGCGACATTTATCCTGTATTGTTGTACAGTTATTGTAGTTATGTGGATACGTCTGCACTCATGCTTGCCACCAGTGGACAATTATGACAGGACATAAAGAGAAATCTTAAATGCAACTAACTGCGCAAAAGGGGATGAGAGTATCCAGGATTTGCCCTCACTGGTGCAATAAAGCTAAATCCCAAACTCAACTTCAAATTGAGCTTAGAAGGAACAACACTCTTGGATTTCAGCGATACCAATACAAAGACACACTTGGGATTTTATCTAGAAAAAAACAAAACAAATCCACCCCCCCTACACACATTTTCACACTGGATATCAAATTCTGTGCCATATTGTTTGCGACGGAGTTCACTGCAGCATGTCAGCTTCAGCAAAGTCTACAACATGTGTGAGATTATATGCATTCAGCGAATAAGCTGTCAGAGGCTCTTTTCCATGAATATCTTTCTGATCACTGATTCTTCTCAAGCTGGCCAGCCTCTGCTTTCCACACACTCTGCCAGAAATATGTGAGATGTCTTGGAACTTGTTGGCTCTGTTATTAGGGTGTAACCTATACAGTTTAATGACCTCAGCTGGCCTGTTAAGCTCTAGCAAACTGCCTTATTACGGTGTCCAAGGGCAACCATATCATTACTCTTATGATATCGACAGCTGCGGGGAATTGTTGTTCTCACAATGAGTCGACCAAAAGAATCCGAGAAAGCGTGTGTCTTAGCCAAAAGTGCTCTCAGCCATCTGTACAAGACACCATGCATACAGTATGTGCATATATGTGAGTTAAATGGCAGCGGTGCTAACACAAAGCAACTGCACAGCAAAAACCACAGCAAAAAGGTTTCATAAAATATCCCCGTAGCAGAAAAAAAAAACCCTCCACTGACAAGATGTTGAGCATAGCTATAAAATACTACAAGGCACGGCGCTGTCCTTTAGCATCAATATCAATACTGTTGCTATTGTTCTTGATGTTGACTTTTCTTGTGCACCGTCGTGTAACAAAACAGCTTTTGCTGGCTCATGAACCTCATCTCAGAGAGCACGAGTGGAGAGAGCTGTGCCATTAAGTGTTATTCCACATTCCACATATCAAGGTTCACGAGCAAATAAGTCACCCCACAGTGGGCTTAACGTCTTCAATGGATATAGGTCCGGGATTAAGCCATCTTCCACACTCTGGAATAATCCTATTTACTTGCCAATGCATAAACAGCTTCCACGACGATCTACAGTACAACCGATCCCTCGAAATATTTCTTTTACTTGCGGTGCATTTTCTTTATTTTCCTGAGAATGGGATCACAATCCCACGTCTTCTCTTTCTGCTATATGAGAACACCGCAGGGCATCCTCAGTTTAAGACATGAAGATAACACCCATGTGCTGCCGTTACAGTAAGTAGTGGTTGCTGGTGATCAGAACTGGTCTCGCTTTCTTAAGGAGATTAATACAGAGATGCTGCATTTGATAGTCAAAAATCTCTCTGATGACAATATCATAGAAAGCAATGAGCAGACATGAAAATGAAATTTAATCGAAGGCAACACATTTTCTCTCCAGGAATGTAACAGCAGGAGCGAATAACACAGCGAGCTTATACTAGAGGTATAAGCTTTTTTTCCTCCCAGTTTGAACAGCCTGACCCCACTGCCATGTCTTTCACTCCTGAAAGTCACTTCTGGCCTGGGGAGGGCGAGACAGTTGCATGTTCTCACTACTCAAACACGCATAAAGCTATGCAAGTCATGTGTTTTTCACCTAACAGCAGAGAGCTTCTTCAAGGGGGCATAACTGAGACGCGCACTCAGATCCCAGCCCTCTTTGCACAGACAGCCCAAACATCCAGTAGAAGTTACTAGTGCAGTGACAAGGACATGATCCCTTACTGGCTTCCCAGCCAGTAGGACTGCCAACTATGTCCAATGGGGGCACGCGGCCAAGCCAGAAACGTCGCCGCTCGGGATTGAACTTACGCCTCCGTAGCGGCACCGTCCACCCAGTGCCAACCGGGCGCCCACTTGTTGGTTTAATTTGATTTTGATATTGCTTTGTTTTCTTTGTCGCTGCGATGGGATCAACACAAAGCAAGCCAGTGATCCAATCCAATAATGTTAGAAAATCATCTCAGAGAGGGGGCAGTGACAGACGCCATAAATCACTTAACTAAAAGAGCCACCTGCTATTCACTGCATCTGTAAAAACCATGCAGCGGAAACAAAATCAATTGGAAACTAAAGCATTAATTAAAAAAAAAAAACACACACAAAACTAAAGTTTCCAACTAAGCCCGGGAGCCAGCGCCAGTCGTAGATTTAATCACAGCTTTAAGGTCAAAGCAACGCTCGGCAGTTTGAGGTTTTCAAGTGACTCGGTGAGTGACCTACCTTGTGTCCCGGGTTTCCTGGAGGCCCTGAGTCCCCCGTGTCCCCCTGTGATGAAAACAACGCACAGAACAGTTAGTGAAAGGTCTCTCGTTCACACATTAGTGAATAGCTTTATGGAGGCTTGTCATTTCAACAGCGATCTTGCTCCTACAGCTGTTCCACAAGTTCTTGCTGACACAATGGCTCAGCAGCTGCAGAGCGGGATCCTATTTCCCAACAACTGGAGAGCACAAATCTGAGCCTTGTTAAGGCTCGGCGTATTATTTTAATAACTGTATATATTCATATAGTTTAAAAAGTGGTCAGGGCAAGAGAGGAAGAAAAGTTTCATTGGCTCGGGGATATAATTTTATGGGCAGTACCAAACAAGCCAGAACGGGAAAGAAAATTGAAAGGAAAGGCAATTGTCCACAATACTGTTAAGAGGGAGAAGGTAGATTGTTATTCAACAAATTAAGTGAATGCAAAACTTGCTGCGAGCTAAGAATCCAATTAAACATAATGCCTATTCATGGTCACAGCTTCATTACAAGCCCTGTTTGTAGCCAAACTTAACTGAGATGCCATCTCTATGTAACGGATTATCAAGCCATTATTCCAGACAACATACCCAGTCTAGCTTTTCTTAATACTCTGCATTTAATAAGTACAGTTCTTTGGTTATGTGAACATTTACCTATTAGGCATTTGTATTTAAGAATATAGATATTTACAGCTGCTGATTCCTTCAGTAGGAACAGATAAACCTTTAAAACGCAGATGGGAATTCAAGTATATTTCACAGTGCTGTTATCCTTTTTTTCTTCTTCTTTCACTTAAATTGTCTCCTCAGCAGCTGACACAAACCCCTTTAAAAAAAAAAAAAGAAGAAGAAGTAGAAGCTAATAATATTGTAACGCTGCTGAATATAATGGGAACAATGGCAGGTTTTGACAGCTAATCAAAATTCAGTGTCAGTGAAATAATGAATCGTCTTGAATAAAATTCCTATAATAATTCACTTTGGAGGTACAATGGGTATAAATTGAATTAGAGGGTTCTAATTGAAAACACAAGCCATAAGGGCAGGAGAGTTTTAAATGGTGCAAAACAAATTAAGGGTATTGTAAAAGGAAAAGAAGTTTTAATTTCACCATTATGCCTCTGTTTTTTTTTTCTTTTTTTTTTTTTTTTTGAGCGTGTACATGCAGGAGCTGTAAATCTAGTAATACCAGGGTTTATGTGCAAGCCCATAGAAAATGGATTTCCTTTCAAGTAAGCTGCATTCTTATAACCCACTACTTATCTGTTTAATTTCCTGAGGGATTCTGGATTAATCATAGCAGTTTAATCCCTTTGCACTGCATTAGAATCCTCCATCAAACTCTCACTGTAATGCGGGATCGTACTTTCTGTTGGAGTAACACAACCAAAGTAATCCCCACACACTTTCCCAAGAAGCCCTCTGTGTAGGTCACAATGATTGGCCTGCAGTTCTCATTACGGGTGTTTTAAATGCTCTAAATTGCCCAGATGTCTTTGATTAATCTCTACAAAGTCAAGCTAAATTGTTAGTAAGTATACTCTATTTTTAATCTTGTACAGAATGGGATTCTCATGTTGGTAATTGAAAGTCTCATGAGCTTACCTTATTAGCTGTATTTGCTACGACTTTGTTACCCCCGCTGATTGTGCTGTAATGTAAATCTGAACGACTGCACCGCCGTTTAATAGTCATTTGACCACCTTTAGAAATTCAGAAATCAATACCAATGGAATGTGCCGTCACAGAAGAGAACTGCCACCATAATCTAGCAGATTAATGTGGAAAAACAAGGTCAGAGCGAATAAGAGAAAAGGGACTACTGCACATGAGTGTGTCAGCTTCCTCATACACTGCACAGATGGCTTAAAATAAACTACTTCTTCTTCTACTGCTTTTTCTCTCAGTGGTAGCGACACATGAACATCTGCAAATCCCACAAGACGTGAGAAACATTTTTTAGCCGATGATCAGTGACATTGTCGTTTTCAAGTATCTACTGCTCAGAATGACGATTCTGTTCCAGTTGCTTCCTTCTTCAGGATATTTTAGCTGTTGTCAGTGAATGGCATACTGCACATACTGCTTTGACATCACGTCGGATGCAGCTGTGCTTATTATGCATTATTAAATCAAACATACCTCTTACCATATTAAATCAAGATGTTAGTTATTTGTGAGACAAAGCGTGGTACCACAACTACTGCACATCAGTCTATCAAACACAGCAAGGCACTGCTGTCAGTGCACTAATGGCTGGAGCGGCACTTGAGCTCCTGCGCCTGTAAAAGTATTGATTTCAATTGTCATTTAAACATCTCCCTGCTTGAGATTCAATTAGTCAAAGTCTAGCCTTTTACTACATATGGTATTTTTTTTCATGATGAAAATGTCTCTTTATTCTGCACTTTCAACAACAAATCCCGACAACATGCAGGTAGAGAAGGATGGAGGAGGTGAACAAGGGGATTAAGAGCGAAAGGAGGAGATGAACCTCTCATAATCCTGGTCTCCAAAAATAAACAATGTTCCTATATCTAACTAAACTGCATTTACTTTTGGGAAGAACACTGCGACAGTGGCACATGCTTCCAGTTTGAACGAGGTAAGAAGTCCATGTAAGGCCAGTGTTTGGCGGGTGTTAAACATTCTGGGTCTACGTAAAGTCAATTTCGGCACAAGTCTGCGAGAGTCTGACTCTTCTGTAGATGTGCAGCCCAGAATTTGTGTCTGTGCTGTAACTACATTACAAGGGCAACAGTGCATATGCTAATGCACCGTGTATACGCTCAGAACACATGGATACGACCATGTATGAAACTGGGTCTTTCATGTGAACTTAAGTGGACTAAAAAAAATCGTACAATAGCAGCAGCTATGTGTGGTCTGCAGCTGTCCACAGCTGTCCGTGTGCATGTCTGCAAGGGAGCATGATCAAGGCTTAAACCTTGATTATTCATGCGTGAACAGAATGAGTGGATACAACACGGATGCATAGTTTTAGCACTTGTACCACTTTTCTGCTGCCAGGCATGTACGCTGTTGCCATTGTAGCATAGCTGCGCGTGGCTGTAAATTTGGACTGCATGCGAACTCGTGTGGAGAGTTCTGCACAGACCCTTGTGGACTTGGGGAGATGACGAAGATTATGCAGGAAAGGATAACACCAACCTTAAGGAGGTAGAAGCGGACAATGGCGGCAAAAGTAAAGGGATTTTCAATCAGGTTTGCATCCTGTAAGGACCCATTGCATTTTAGCCATAATTTTAATTTTCACTTGCTGTTTAGGAAAATACAACACTGTGATTGACACTTTCAAAACAACAACTACTTGTTAAAAGCTTGCTTAAGCTTGAGAGCCCAAAATTACATGGTTAGATTTCGATAAATAGCGCAGTTTGGGTTGTAATGCGAATCTTTCACAACATGTCTAAAGCTTCTCCTCCATTTTATGGGTTACCAGGTTCATGCGTCCCACCCCATCTAATAAATGATTGCTTAATTGAAAAGGAGTGACACTAATTCAATAAAATAAACAGCAAAGACATGTTAAAGTCAAACACATCAGTGAAATATAACAAACAAGTTTATTCCAGCAGAATATTAGTTAAACTAAAAAGGAAACAAAAAAGTAAGTTGTATAGGAGTATAATTATTTTGGTTAGAGGGTTGCCTCAAGATACAAGGTGAGAGGAAGAAAAGGCCAGGAAAACTACAGCACAGTTACCTTGTCTTTACAATAAACTACATGTGAAGAATAGAGGATAAAGTTGGTCAGATTTTACTTCAGTAAAGATGCTGTAGACAAAGCAAGAAAACCTGATTACTTCAAATCCTGCAAAATCTGCAGTGATATTACAAGATAATACAAACTAAGTACATTTATAGCATTAGTTCAAAGGACAAGACATCAGGAATTGAAATCTGCTTAATTATATGTGAATTAAATGAACAAAAAATGATATTCTAGTTATACATGTATCTATATAAATATACTAGATAAATAAAGTACTTGAGGTTTCACTTCACCATTGAGATTTATTGGCCTTCTAGCAAACAAATGGCATTAACTTGAGCATACTATTAAAACTATTCAAAATTAATATAAATACAAATACTAAGACTGTTCTTGTTTTTCTTTTCTTTTTTTGTTGTTTTTATTAATACAGTGTTGTGTGATCAGCTGACTGGAAGAGAGCTTAATGGTGAACGTGTGCTCCCTGATCATGTTTTTCCTTAACTTCATTGATTTAGTCTTCAAGCCTGTAATAGGATTTGTTATGAATTTTGTTGTTCAGTAAGTAAACAAATGGTGCCAAGTATTGATTTGTTGAAGACCTGAAATTAGATTTTAGATGTTAACAGTTTCAGCTTGTGACTCAAAGCACAAGACGTGGCCCGCAAAAACAAAACAAAATAATGCTAAAAAAAGGAAATGACCTGTTAACCTGAAAAGGGTGTTTAAATAATTGTCAAATCATTTCGAAACAGATAAAATAGGTTGCATGCTGAGGGTCTTTTGGGACACGCTCCTAGTCTTCAGGTCAACACTTGCAGGGGGAGGGGATGGGAGGTTATATGGCTATTTTCAAAAGCATAAGACCTTGACAAGATGCCACAGTGCCTGCAAGACATGATACCTTTTTTTTTTTTCCTGATGCAGTCTCACCCGCTGAATATAGCCATAACAATTAACAGCCAGTAATTAATCACCAGCGCCATAACCACACACCAAGCGCGAATGCACGGACACATTACAGTGTGAGAGCTGATCTCTGCTAGTTCAATTAAGAATCATTAGAGGCCAATTATAACGTGTATTAAAATCTGCCGTTAAACACACAGTTTGCAATATAATGGTCATAATTCTGCAAGCATCTATGGTCGTTTCAAAGAGTACACAGTTGCCATGTAGCAATATAAAATTATATTCAGAAAAAAAAGAAAAGAAAAGATAACGTTATCCCAGCAATCGTATTAATACAATTATTCACAGTTTTTTGAGTGACATTGTAATAATTGTCGGGAAACACAGCAGCTAAATTGAAAATCTTAATTGATTTCTTAGTGATGTAGACATCTCTATTATTTAAGGGTTCCTTTTTTCACTGCTAGAAGAAAAAGCAATATAAAATGTTCAGCTAATCTTAAATATCCACACCCCTGGTTCCTATACCAGAGTTAATCACAGCAGCACATAAATAGTAGGAAAAAAAGCATAGATTAAAAAGCTAAGAAAACAATTACAAATTCTCGGAAAAGATGCTACAGGTGTGAATGATTAAGTGGTCGTGTAATGCTTTTGTGCTTTTCGGGAACGAATGGTTGTTAAAAGTCAAATAGTCATCCTACATATCTTAATCCCACAGCCACATCACGGTAATAAGGATACTGACCCCGAAAAGCCACCTGGTCTTATCAGGCATGCAGTACCAGCAGCTGTTCATCTTTTGTGAATTTCATTCATTGTTGAACACCTTCTCCCATTTTTTTTTTCACCTTGCAAATAGCTGAAAGGGGATTTGATCCTCCAAACAATGTGATTGGTCTAGGGGAAAAATAGCACTTTTCGGTTTGGGTAGTTGGTGGTTCCTTTATGTTTTTGTTGTCCTCCAGCTGACACAACACCCACAATTTTCAGTGACTGGGCATTTACAATTCCACTTGTCTATTGAGCTGTCATGGGGAAAGGATCCTTCTCATTTTAAACTACATCTATTTTCTAGTGATTGGACAAATGTATGATTTCCCAATTCACACTTCTCAGGGGGATTTGGAAGAAAATGCACTTTGTGAAGGTAATTGTATGGTAGCTTCTCTGGAGGACCTTGTCTGAAGAACATGAAACTTTGCGAGGCACTACAGCATAGACATTTGCTTTGCAGAGAGAGAGAGAGAGAGAGAGAGAGAGAGAGAGGGGAGAACTCCTCTTCCTCGAACACACAAAGTATAAATTTGTCCTACAGGGACCCGCTGTCTTTCTTGACATTTAGACCTTGCAGCTGTCCTGGAAAACCAGCAGCAACTAGCCACAAAGAGAACCCAGTAAGAGCAACGTTTGAGAGCAAAAACTATGGTCGTTTGCAACAAAGGGCAAAGCACAAAGTGGTGCAGATGCTCAACGTGAAACTGCCCACCTACTCAAAAGCAGACTACTGTGAAAATGTTTCATCCCTAACATTCTGCTAACCACTGCAATCCCTTTAAAATAAATGCCAGAAACAGATGTGTGCATATGTCACGCTGAAAATGTTGCCCATACCTTGTCTCCTTGATCTCCCTTTTGTCCTGGCAGTCCAACTACGCCTGGAAGACCAGGATCCCCCTGAGCAGACACAATTAGCGGGATTAAAAAATGTAGACACGTTTATGTAATCGGCATAAATCTTTTGTCTTGAAAGGTACAATGAAAAACTGTACCTGGGCCAAGAAGCAAGAATTATTTATCAGTAAGCCAATACAAGTGATTCACAGTACTTACAGTAAATAATGATGCTTTTACAGAGTCGTATGTTACCTCAAAATTTAGAATCTTTATTATATGGGCTTTTTCTGATATCCAAAATCAGTTTCTACGGATAGAGATCAGCAATGTCTGCATGGGAGCAGGATGTTGTTTTTAATGTAGCACCTCAAAATGCTGATTTCACTGCCTCTTTGTGACTTGCAGACAAAATCTTAAAATCATCAAAGTGCTGGGTGTGAGATTGGAGATCACCTCGGAGCTGTATCATCTGTTTCTTTCAAAGCAGGCTTGAAGCTTTTGAGTCTCAATTTGCATTTTAGTCTTACATTAATATCTACAGCCAAATGAGACCTTCTGCATTTCCACAAAATCGATTGCACGGTGCGAATTTACACTGCTCAGGAGAATTATACCTGTGTTTACTAATAGATTATGGCTATACTGTGTTTGGTTGGCTTCCAAGGAAAACACTTTTTGGCATAAGTGTCTTTTAAATGGCAGCTTAGTGCCCATAAAGGATTGAGTACACGTGGTGCCAAATCAGTGCTGGTTCAGTTAGAATAGCCATTACACTCACTCAATTAGAGACCCTTGTTGGGGGGTGGGAATTGATTGTACCTTTTCAGCCGGACAGTGACATCTGTCAATTGACTGTGAGAGCGGCTGAGACAGCATCTGGGGGATCGGCTCTGTATCCAGGGGAGGGGAAGTCCCATTAAATGTCGTCTTTGCTCCACACTGGATCAATACAGAAATTTCACCGTTTAGACACCTTCCTTTGTTACATTTGCTTCAGGGCAAAAGAAACTCCACAATCCGCCTTGATGTCGCACGCTTTGCACAAGCAACCTGCACTTCATGTTTATGTGGCTGTGCAGTGAAGCGACACTGATAAGTCCTTCTCAAGGCTGTGACAATTCCCCGAGAGTAACTTTACACTGGCGTGACAGTGTACTTATGGAGAGATGTAATGGTGAGGGGTCAAAGGCCATCTCTCCATTTGGAATCACTGTAACATTAGCTCTTATTGACTTTATGGTGATGGGAGTTATTAAGTTACTTTCCGTGGATGCATGTTCTTGTAAAAGAGACACAAACAAAATCCTTAAATGTTTGATCATAACGAAGCCAGTCAGGTACTGCAGGACATTTATTACATGTGCAGGACCTTCTAAAGTATGTCATTACAGCTATTGTCTCTGAATATCTTAAGAAAAACTTATTGTATCATGTCATTTATTTCCTAAGTTGCAGAATAAATTAAAAACAGAAAAGCAGACACCCCTTACCCCTGATTTTCCAATTTACAACAAACAGTAGGTGTTAGTTTTGCACTGAGATGTTCAAGCATGTTACCTCTTGTAGCTCACAGCAGTTTTCCAACTCAGCCATATAAGGGTCACAGTAGATTAGGATTTGTTTCAGTTCAATCTGTGGAAAAGAGCTCACATTAATGGACCATCACAGCCTCACACAATGGTTTCATTATTGCATCATGCTCCTCTTGTAACTGACAAATGTCTGGGCTTCACTGGTTAAGACAATTTGTTCAGATGTTAGCTGTTCTAGCATTAAGTTGTCCTGCGATTTCCATCGCTGGCAAATTGGCTTAAAAACACAGGGTCCAAACACTTTAAAAAGCTTTAACTCTTGCATGACATCTACATTTTTTTAGTGATACTGACTTAAATATTCTACCAATCAAATGGTGTTAAAAGTCAGTTGTTAATCCTGCTTAAGCCAGAATCCACTCAGAAGTATTGGTGACAAATGGCAAAGCTGTTCTTATGTTTTTAGCACTTTGGGGGCATGTCTGAGAATGACACTAACACACATGGAACAATGGAGGATTTAGACAGATTACAAATCTGAATATGCCCCTGAAGCATGTTGGGAATGGAGAGGATTTTTTTTTTTTCTAAGCGGAGTGGCACACAATTGATCAAAAGTGGAGATGAATAACAAAACAAGTGCACCAAACACTGGAGAATCCTCCGACCTCATAGAGTAGATTTAGCTAAAGACAAAAAATATTTAAAAAGTTAGCAGGGGACGTACATCTACAGGTCGTCCGTCCTCTACTCGTGTAGTGATGAGTGTGCGCCCATTGGGGTCAATGCTGTCCCTCTCATCAGTCAGTCTTCTTTCTATTAGCTTGCAGTCCATGTAAATGGAGACTATGTTGCTCTGAAGAGAAATGCTCAGCTTGTGCCACTGGCGATCAAAGAGGGCATGTAGGTCACGGCTCTTAAAAGTGTAGCGGAGGGTGTTCTTTAGCGAGCCCTGGGAAGAAAACTCCAACACCTTCTTACCACCATCGACCACAACAGACACCTAAAGGGAAAAAGAAGACTTTAAAAACAGGACAAGAGAAAAATCCAACACGCCATATATTTGTAGATACTGATATTAACACATACAGTTGGGCTCACCTGACTGCCTCCTGATTGGTCAAATATCTGCCAAAGATACCAGCGGTCTTTTTTAGTGGTTCTTCTTACCCGGAGGATGGAGACAAGGGAGTACTCACTTGGGAGCCCATTTGGAAAAATTGATCTAAAAAGAAACATTATAAAAACGGAGTCAGATTCTCACAGAATATCAATATTAAACTGATTATTAAAATATCCTAAAAAATTGAAGATAGCAGTCTCTGGTGTCTTTTCTCAATATTGAACGTAAACCAGTTTAAAGCTTTCAGTGGCTGAATAATGAAGCAGCCAATCAACTTCAGAGATCAATAAAACATTTCAGTATCCTCTTGCTGCAGAGACATTCACATAAATAAACCTGACAAACATGATTCCATTTAACTTGATGAATTTTATACAGGCTTCCCTGTCATTCAGATAATGAAAGCATATAGACATTGATCCAAAGTCAAAGAGGCCAATCTTTTACCTCACCAAGCTCCCGTGTCCTACACATGCCTAGTGCAGAGCAGCTATAGGTTTATGTCTATGACCTCAGCTGCTCTGGAAAGTCAAATAACACAGAAAAAAAATGTGCGCAAGCCAAAGATGAAAAAAAGGAAAACATATAGGGAAAAAAACAACATCATATTTCAGATCACACCCACTCTCAAATGAATTACAGCTTATTCACTAACTCATCTCTCAACCCGAACCCCGTCTCCTCTTCTTAATTCTTTACATTGCATTTAAAAAAAACACACACACACACAACAAAACAGGGTATCCTTCAAAATACTATAACCCTAGCCCTAAGTCCAAACTCAAATTAACAACTAAAAGTGGAAGAGCATAAACATAATAAATCAAGATCAGCAAAAATAATAATAATGCAATGATAAGGTCATTGAGAAGGCAGAGCACAGCCCGGGGGAGGAAGAGAGCGAGTATCCTCAGACAGGTTGGAAATTAGTTTTCACTCCAATATATCATCTCCTATTCTCTCAGAGCTTCATACCCTCTGCTATTGTGTCCCTCGAATTCTTTGAGATTTTGGTGTAAACGGTACATGACTAAAATGATAAATACACCAAGTTAAAGCTCCCGAAAAATCAAATGCTTCTGTGAGAGACCGAGGACTGGGAAGGTCATTTGTTGCCCAGGGGCTAAAGGACTATTTCAGCTGCAATTCAATATCAAAAGTGACATGGCAATTTATAAAAAAAAAAAAAAAAAAGGGAATTTTACAATAAATTCAGCATAGAATATTACAAGGTTGCACATACTGTACCTGATTGTACTAAATGTATTAAACATTACTATAAAAGGCAAGGCGTAATATTAAATTAAAGCGTATGGGAGAACTTTGAGAGCTTCATGCACTACACCTATGGAACTTAATAAATTCAAGAAGTTTCATTACAACTGAGATACTGCGTAGAATTTACTGCAAGGCTGTTTTTTTTTTTTTTAGGGCGCAAGAGTTCATAGCCTTCTTTTCAAAGTCCCTAACTCAGCCTACTCTCATTTCAAAACACGACCTGTCTACAGTGCGGCACAGTTGATCTCTGAGGGCCCGGAGGGTTAAAGTTCTTGACCTCGTGTTGACTGCCCTCAGCGGCTAAGTGGCTAAACCTGGAGCGCAGTGTCGGTTGGTTTGAACATTGTTTGTGTGATTCTTTGAGAAAAAAGTACACCTTTTTAGGTGTCTGAAAATGAGCCAATGAAAAGGATCTGATTTTATTCTCCTTGCTCTTATCTATCTTTCACTGCCAGTACGACTTCTACAAAATACTACACGTGATTCTGCCAACCCCGTCTCCTACAAGTGCCATTTAAATAGAACTAATTTGCTCAGAGTAACACTCTGGCACACAGGAGTTATAATCAGAACTAATTCCATTTTTACAAGGAATGACCGTGTGCTTTCTGGAAACTATCAGCACTCTCGGAACATGCCTTTGACCGCGCATATTGCTTGGCTGACACTACCCCTTGTATAATCAGAGACAATGGTTTGACAGAATGTCACAGCAACACTACCGGTGTGGTAGACAATCTCACGGAAGCGACTTTAGCGTCCCGCTTTGTGAGACATCCTATCCATGCGGATTCTTTAAAATGTGTCAGGAGGAATCGAATTGCTGTAGTTGAAACAATCAAACCTCCACGTGCCGATTACTGACACCCAATCCTCCCACGGATCAAAGCGGACTCAGCCATGACAGTTTACACGGTAAATCCATCATTTGTGCTGGCAAACACTATAACTTCTTCTCAGCGTGAGTCCACTTTTCCGTTTAAACGTGGAAGAATGCTTGCCAGCATGATACAAAAGTGCCTGTTATCAAACTAAATCAAATGCATGCCTATGATCTGGAAGAAGAATACTTCACTTGTGAAGAGACTCTATAAAAGTGAACGTGCATGTGTTTAACTGAGATACGTATTCATTGTCATTCCAGTGTAAAATAATGTTCCTCTGCACACCTAAATAACAGAGAGCACTGCAAGATCCTTGCAATAACAACAAGCCACCAAGAGCAGAGAAACATTAAAAAAAAACATGTGTGATTCGTCAACGTGACTACATTAAATCATTACTTAACATGTAGAAAACAACTTTCATATATATATAGAAAAGGGTTTGACAGTAAGTACAGGGTAGTTCAAGCACTCTACAGTGCAATTAGGTGTGTGAGACTAAAAGGTTCTAAACATATATGTATATGGTTCATATGGTTCTAAACAAGAAATAATAATAAAAAATCCAAATAAGCACTTATAAACTGCATATTTCAGAACCAGTTCAGAGGTTTATGACATAACTACAGTGTCAGCTGGACTGTATTGACTACTGTGAGCCTATATGATTAATTAGCTGACACAGTCAGAAACCGCTGAAACCACAGACTGACAGACAAACACAAACCGTGGTGATTCGATACTCTATATCTCAGTCTGAACACAGCGCAAACCACATTATGAGACTCTGTGGCCACATTCAAAAGATGTGTTATTACCACTGAGATTTGAAATGAGAGATGATTATTATATTACAGAGAAAAATTATGAAGAAAAACAGATCAGGGTTGGATGAGATTACTTACACATCACATGTGTCAATTTGTGTAATTACTAATGTAATATATTGGATTACAAAAAAAAAAGGAAAAAAATGTAATCTAACCTGAATATGTTTGGATTGCTTTTGGAGTATTTCAAAATCATATGGAAAACATATTGTCACAAGAATTCTGACTTAAACAAATATTCTTTTTCTTCCTCTTTACGCACCAAAAACATGTTCAAAGCAAATAAGATGCATTTTGCATCTTCATCATTTGCACTTGGTCAAATTAAATTAACCTTACAAAAGCAGCCCTGGCACAAACTACTGGTGTATCATATATTCTGTAATGTGTGGGATGCTCTCTTGTGTGATTTTCTGTTGTGGCTGTTTCCTAATCAAAGGAGATACTGCCAGGAATGGAAGCCTATATTAGAGGAACTGATGGTACTTGAACCTTCCACCTTGACTCAGCACTGTTTTTTGTTTCCCCTCGCCACAAAGTAGAGCGCCTTGTCTAAGAAACACTATATGTGAGATGCACTTTTCATGAGCTGATAGCATTGGGTGCAATGGATTCTTTTTTAAAAACATTTTCAGGATTTCAAAATATCCATATTTCAAAGACTTAACCAAACTGCAATAAAGTAATCGCTGACAATGTAGCTATAATCTGACTATACATTTTTCAGATGTGATGTGGTCTGATTATTATTACTTACTTTTTCATCATGCTATATGTCATAGTGACAGTTTCTTATGGTTTGTCTTAGTCTTTCAGGCTTAAGAGGAACAAAAAGAGCTAAGAATGTTTTTTTTTTGTCCAAAAAAGCACAAATAAAACTAAATATGTGTAAAGATATATACGAAAAGTGGACATCCTACCTTTTTACTTGTTTTGTTTTGCTAAAAACAACTGTAGTCAGTAAAAAAAAAAAAAAAAAACCCCAAAACACTTAGTCCAGTGTGACTGCCTGTTACCTAACTGCAGATAGCAAAAAGAAAGTGCTCCTTGAGCTTCTTTTGCTCAACATTTGAACAAAGAAAAGCTCCACTGAACCTCGAAGACTTTAAGCTGCCTAACTACACAGGAAACCCTGTAAAGTGAAGCTGTACTTACTTTAAATGTAAAGTAGCACATATGAATGTTAAATATATCAGATGCGAGATAGAAAATTAGTACAAGACCAGACAGAGATATGCTTCTAATGACAGCGAACAACTGCAGCAAGTGTCCTTTAATGCTGCACGGATGAACACAAGTAGCATTTTGTAGGGCAATTCGTCACCTCACATGAATGTTCCATAAGTGTGTCAGCTGTGATCTATGTACCATAATGTGTTTTGTGCCAAGGAGTTGGCAGAACATCAGCCAGATCTAGAGAATCAGGCATCTATTGCTGCATATCCTGCGAGTAAAGTGAGCAATGTTTTAGTGGCTGTGGCAGGGGCAGAGGGGCCTCCTGCTTCATGCGATTGCCCTCGCTTTCCCTCCTCAGCTGACATGCAGTATCACCTGTCAAAGTACTTAGATAATTGGATATGAGAGGGATCGCAGTCTTACCACTATAACCAATGACACTGTCAGCAGCGTCACTGAGAACCAGCATCTTCTTGCACTGCGGAGCCCAGACTGAGCGAAGGGCTGAAGTAAATGTATTTTCAGCTGGTTGACTGAACAGGGAAGCAGATCACAAATCACCTGGCTCAAAGATTCTTTCACCTTGCCAGAGAGAGTGGCAGTAAATGTTTACAGTTGCATGCCATGTAAAAATACTAAAAATATCCTCCCCACCTCCTGGAAGAATGACAAAGTGTTCTCTTTCACTGTTACAACCTAAGGACACAAAACAATGAACATCGGGGCACATTTTTCAAAACCCAACGCGTCACAGTAAAGCCGAGCTGGGCAGCCATTACAGCTTCATATATGCCACTGGTCTTTTTTTTCTGATACAACTGGGACTGAATGTAAAAGCGCAATGGACCTTTATAAATATTATATCAAATCAAATGACCACTATATCATCGCATAAGCATCAGCAATGTGAAGTCACAGCACGGCTCTGCCAGTTGACCAGGGAATAAAGGTCTTCAGTAAATGGCACCTTAGTGTGTCATTTATGTAGTTATTTTAATATTCCTGTCTTATTATACGTCCTCAGACTTTTTTCTGTCCTTTATGTCCCACTTTTTGCCCTTAGGAGACTTCTAGAATAAATGCAATATATATTAATTCTGTTCAAATTATTCCCTGTCTACCAGCTCACCTCACTGCTTGCCCTTATTAGCCAAGGCAAATGGAACTATTGCTCTGAGCAGGGCATATCAGGGCTGTCTCAGTTCAGCCCTTTCATCAAAATGAGCAATGCTGTTTTGTTTAGGGTTTTTTTTTTTTCTCTAGAAAACTCACAGATCCAAAAACTTCAAGTCTCATCCTGATCTGCACAACAAATATCTATAGTAGGTGTAAAAATTTCGCTACTTATATCACAGAGTCTTGCAATGTTTGACTCTTAAGAAATAATCAGCACTTCATACTTACAACCTGAACATGAGGAAGCAAAACCGGTACTAGCCTGCACTTTAGCACTGCTCATTTGCACAGCGCAGTGTCCTGACATGCTACAATGAACAACAACCCAAATGATGCAGAATGTAAACACACACTTACTTTGTCGGCTTAATAAGTGGACTGCTTCCTAATCGGAACGACGGCAGCTCTTCTGTGATTGTTCCCTTTCGGAGGAGAAACTTTTCTGTGAGATCAAATCCTGTGAACGGGATCGTAATGTGTTACTATCTTTAAACAAACCGCTTGCAGACTTATTTACGAAGCCGTCACTCGGCGCGTACCTGTGATTTGCAGGGGACGATCTAAAACATCCTTAAACCTGTGTTCCTCTACGGTCAGAGCGGGACATGAGCCATCTATGGGGAAAAAGCCACCAAGAAGTTGTTTGGGTGCAGATGTTTGTTTATATTTCGAATCAGTTCGCTGGTATTTTAGAGGAGACAGTGATGAAGTGAATCATGAAGTAATTTCCACAGTGCATTTCCTCTGATTCTGAAAGCAAAAACTGCTTCATGAGAAATCAACATCAGAGCAGAAAAACTGTTCAGTTGTTTTTCCCCATTAATCTTCGGAACTTTTGTTTAAACTTTGAAAAACAACTGTAAGAGACAAGACTCAGAAATTCAATTTAGAGACAAGCACAGATTAGTGATACCAAAACTGACTTTATGAATACTGATAATTCTGCAATACTTTCACTAATGTAAAGCTGAGGCGAAATAATAGCATTGCAATAATAACAACAACATGTTTGTCGATATGCATTAACTCAGACTTCAATTTGGGATAAAATGTGATGTTTTCAAACACTATTATTTAAAGAACAGCTTTTTATTCATGACAGATATAACGCCTCTCTGTCTATCTGTTCTTTACCTCCACATTCGAAGAAGATAATTCGTTTTGTCTGGCTTTGTGTTAACAAAAGCGCAGTTCAAGACACTGCAGGTGGTGCTTTGTTGCCAAACTATCGACAATCTTTTCTCGTCGAAAGGAATGTGCTGCTGCAGACGGAAAAAGTTGAGGACAACAAAAAAATCACATACCTGTTTGTTCACTTACTGCCATCCCAAAAGTGCAAGGAATGGAATTCACAGTCCAAATGAAAGCAGTCCATCCTAGCAAGCAAATCATGGCTCTGAGGCTAGAAAGCAGTCCACCTGAAAACCTGAGTTCAAACAGGACAGTTTCGTTTTAAATTCAGGTCGGTAAAATTGAAATGAAACACATGTCTTAGGCAACCTTGATTAAAAAAATGTATGTATGAGCCAATAAATGCGTAACTCATAGTGGCTCAATTGACTTTCATGATAAACTTGCTTTTGCAACTTTGACTTCATTCAGTCAGCCTCACACTGGAACAGTCAGGTGTCTCTGAGCAAACATATGACAGATAAAACTTTCCAATCTGTGGCAGAAATTACACATCATAACCATCTATTGTCTTCAGATCAGGTCTGTTAATTCCGATCAAAATGAGCATTAAAGTGGAATTAACATCCTAACTCATGTCTGATTCTCCTATTTTCCACTCAGCTCTTACATGCACTCACACGTCCCTAAAGCCTCTTTGTGTATTTATGTAAAGTCAGTCAGCATGGAGAATGCACTTGTGAGTCCTTCATTCATTAGTTCTCATTAACACCTCCCATACAGGGATGAATGCAGATGACTATACTCCAGCAGAATCATTATACCCTTAGCTATGTTTGTGTTACCGTTTTGCTTGTTAACCACTGAGCCAGGCTGACTCTTGTTCTCCATAAGTTTGTAATTCATTAGGTCTGTACGTCTCCTCCTAAGATGACTTTTAATTCATATTCCAAATTCAGCTCACAGTTTGACCGACAGAGCGATTATAGAAGTTCAACACACAGTTGTGGGCTCTGAGTATTTCATTGTTTGATTTTAGTCTGAACGCCAAGGCCCTGATCTGTTTGTGTAGTACTCTATTAACACTTTGCTGTGTTTTGATGTGTAAGCTGTCTGCAATGTCTTGTTCAAGGACGTCACATTCAAGGATCAAACCTGGAAACCTCCAGTTACAAGCAAGTCTTTCGAAAAATGCGACTATGCTGCCAAATCAAATCTTCTGCATTGCTCTCGTGCCATTGCAAAGGCGGCGTACATTTTTTGGGTAGAGTCATCGTGGACGGTGAGAGTCTGCTGCAAAGTGCAGGCAATAAAGTGCACTCGGTCTTTGTGAACTATTCCTACTCAAACACTTTCAGCAACTTCTGCGTTCCTGATACATATGAACCAAACTCAAAAATTAAAAACTATTTCAGATGCTGTTTGTAAAGGAATTGCAAGGTCACCAAACTGAATAAAAGAATGAATAAAGCCTCAAAAAAAAGCTGCACACATAGACGTGACACTGAAATACTATCACAATTATCCTCTTGCAACAAAATCACACGCTTCAGATTCTTGATCGTACAGAAAATCATGATTGTCAACGCACTTTTTTTTTCTTTTTTTTCCCCCCCAGCCTACCTGCAACAGTTTTGTGAAAACACAGCTGCAGCAACGACTATAAGCATAAAATCCTTCCCTCCAGGTGCAAATTCATCTATTTCAACCAGGACGAAATGGCTGAAGACATAGCAGAGTGCTGAACTTGACCTCCTAACACCATAATACAGCCACAACACATTAAGTTAATTTATATGCAGGGCCTCACAAAGTGTGACCAATAGTATTTTTTTTCTTTCACTAAACGTTCCTTCTTTAACTGCCTCAGTCGTATCCAAATTAATTTCTCCCCTCTGATTAATTCCAGTCCATGCTGCTGCAAGCCTTTCCCCTCTTTCTCCCACCGGATCATAAAGTTTTTTTTTTTTTTCTTTTGCATGCAGGCCTTTACAGTGTATCATGGCGCATGGAGATGAAGTGACCATGCCACTTACAACTACAACCATGCATGGGTCGAAAGACAAGCAGCACTACAGAGGGATCACATTCCCTGTCTGTGTGAAGGTGTAATGTTATTCCATGTCATTTCTGCAAATGCATGCAATACACGCAGCTCCTACATTCACAGTTATTCCAGATTGTGTAGGAGTTTTTTTTTCCTTCTATTTTTTTTGTTTATTTTTTTTTCTCCATATGCAGTGTAGTAGATGGGGGGGTGCTGGAACCAAACCTGCATCGATTTAAATCCTATAAATTGACACAGTGGCACAGTGTGGGCTGTATCACATATGTCACAGCTTGAGATAGGAGCAGGCAGAGAGAGAAACCTTGGACACATAACTTATAGTCCGCTCTGTGCCTCCATCATTCATTCTCTCCGATCAATGGCAATAACTCAGAGGCAAAAACTCTCCAATATTCAAAGAAGCGTGTTGCTCTACGCGACAGCTGATTGGCTGGACGCTTTTTTTATTATTTTTTTATTAGTATTATTTTTTTAATAATAATTGCGGGATGTTGTCGCTCTTTTTCTTTTTTTTTCTTCTAACAAATTGATGCAACACGACTCGTGTTTACCGCTGCAGAGCGTTCATAAATCAGAAATAACCTGTTCAGAAGGCACGCGTCCCACCGAGCGCTCAAGTTAAGACGCATCAAGACGTTGCACAATAAATAAAAAATAAACAAAACCAAGCGATCAGAGATGCAACTATTCCCCATAACGGTACTTTCAATGGGCAAAACACGCCGATTATTACGTTATAATGATATTTTTCAAAAAACAAAAAAAAATGAGCGAGGAATTAAATTGATCTATAAGTACTTACAGTTGCTGATAAAGTTTCCTCTAAGGCAGAAACAAACCAAAAACAGCGACAAAAGCATAATCCATGTGTGATTACGATCAGTCCGATTCCGGATTCCAGGACTTGGAAATAAAAGTCACAGTGGGATCGCTTGCTCGATCGCGGTCCTTATTAGTTGCACCGAGTGGCCCTCCCACTCAGTCATTATTACTGAAATACACTGACAGAGACTTGAGCAAACACACTGAAAGCCTCCACATTAAGGGGGGAAATACATGCCCAGCGGCTGTTCAGACAAACTCTCCTATTAACTTGAGCCAGGTGCGGGAATTAAACACCGTTTGATGCATTGTGATTTTTTTTTTTTTTATCAAAATGTTCTAAATAAAAGGCCTGAATCATATGGATTTGCACAGCCTTTAACTTGGCTTAAAGTGTGTTATTAGCAGTAAGTGAAGCTTAAAAGTGAAAAAAAAAAGCCTCTTGGGAGAATATAAAAAAAAAAAGAAGATGTGTTAACAGGCTATTCATCTCGATCCAAATCTATCTATTCATCTGCCCCACAGCACAGAAATTACACTCTGACATGAGTGGAATAGATGACACAATGAAGTGGCAGCTTTTAGTTTTAAAGGCAGTCCTGGGCGCTGCAAGCAAACCGCATACTATTTTAGTCAGAAGACAAATGCCATGTTGCAATACTACACTTGCTATACGGAAGGCAACAACTTTAACATTGGCTTGTGTCTGCAAGAGTTTTAAATGCAGGGTTCTGTTAATTCCTGCTTTGTGCCTGTCTGCTTATGTGTGGACGGGCTTTCCATTTGTCACATCGGTGTGATTACAGGCTATTTATGTGTCAATAAAACTGGCTCAAACTGTGAAGGTTAAATCTGAAGTATTTTAACCTCTTGAAGTTTTTTCTTCTTCTTCTTTTACTTAAAACAACACAGCAACGTTTGCAGACACCAGGTCCACAGAAACAGGTGTTCAGACTCCCCACATGTAACTGTTTAGACAGATGATTTTAATGCACCCTCCCTTTCACCGCAGGGACACACACGGGGATACACTTTTCAGCAGTGTGTTGAAAGAAAGCACGAAAAAAAAACATGCCATAAAGGACTGAGAATTCAAATGAAGCAGGTGGCTGTATTTGAGAGCTTTTTTCATACATATATAAATATAAAATAAAGCATTTTCCCCTCTCTACTCTCTGCATTTCTTTACATCTTTTATACTTTAATCTTTTATTTTGTTCTGAGTGAACTCTATAACTGTTTTCTTACAGCTAACATACAAGGATTGTTTTTTAATAAAGTTAGCATTTTGTATTTAAAAAAAAATAAACTAAAAAACTCTGTAAGAGTGAGATTATTTTAATCCAAATATTATAAAGCTCAATTTTGTTAAAATTGATTTTTTTGTTGGGCTTTGTTGCTGCCACTGTGATGTAATTCCAACATGAAGTGATTGATTTGCTCAGACACAGAATTTGTATGAGTGTGTGTGTCTGTGTGTATAAGTGAGTGAGGGAGTTTGAGTGGGGTGAACTGACCCTTTCAGGTTTGGGGCAACACTGGGGCCATTGTGGAAATGGCATGAAGCACTAAACTGTAATCCTACCAACATAGTGATAAACTGCTTACACAAAACAACCATCCAAACCATAGCAAAAGTTTCTTCTGAAAACATTATAAGTTATGTAATCAATCCTATCTGGAAAAAAATGACACTAAAGAAATAGAAATATATACTTTTCTTTTATACAAATTGAAGTACAATCTACACTATTACTCGAAACCTTATTTATCATCCTTTGATTCTGGGATCACTTAATTTACAGTAATTCCAAGTAAACATTATGTATGTTATATTTATATGTCTCAAAGTTATAGCAATCCCAATGCATCCAATTAGGATCTGCCTTTCATAGATATCCCAAAACTAACACCAACCCTATATCATACTGATATATTCTAGATTTATTACAGCCAAGCACATCTTGGAGATCTGAGAAATGGCACAGACAACCTTGGCCACCTCATCTTCATGCCCTCTCCCTCTACACCTTCAAAAATGTTTAACATTTGAGGGTTTTTTTTTCCCACACTCACCCCACGTCTGATTGAAGTCAATCATATGCATGACAGGCTATTTCAGTTTTATCATGCATAATAGAACATAAACATTTAATTTGACCGCCATAAAACATTCATTTATCCTGACTTGATGTGTAGTATTTCTGATGTGAACATCATTGTATTGTAGGAAAAGCAGTAATTAGGGTCATTGACGGATCACATGAAGAAATCTATACCTGCCTCCTTCAAAGTAACTGAAGGAGTGCCTCTGTTGTGTAATACTTCGAATGAGGACTTAGGTCAAGCATGTTCTCAAATGCAACTGGGTCCCCCGGGATCCTAATGGCATTTATTTAAAAGCACCAGTTGAAACAGAAACAGAAAACAATGAAGTCATTAGGAACAGAATGAGTCATGAAAAATTTGTATGATAGAGTAAAGTACATGTGAGACAGAAAGTAAAGCTCTGGGGTCTATCTCATATGCTAGATCAAGGGTGAACATAAACTTCACATATGCCTTTTAAAGTGTTTACATCAGCTAGTATTGGACAGCTAATGTTTTCACCATATGATACATTCCTTCCTTCTGTGTGCACCTGGAGTCGTCAAAATCTGGCACCAAACTATAAGAAGTATTAGAGTTGCATTTCAACTTGCTAAAGTCTAAATGTCAATTACTAATCCTAACAACATAGCTTGACATAACCTTGAAATTGTATATATTCTGCTTTCAGAAACCTATAAAATGTTATCTGCAGACTGCATTGCCTAAACTACCTTTGCCACCACTATACAGATAAAGTGGCCGTCAGCAGAAAACAAGTCACCACCTTTAATTTCCGAGAATGAGATCAATAGAGTTTGATAAAAGCCCAACGTTTTCTGCCTTAGCATCATTTATTTTGAACATAATCCCCTTCTCGCACTGTTGTGAAAAGCTAAGCTGGATCGTGGCTGTTGCCCTCTGTGGTGTTGGGTTGAGGTTTTCCTTGTGCCTTCCTTAAAATCCTCACTTAATCATAAGCTGTCAACTTTTCATAAACATTTCTTCCGGCCAATGGAAACTGCTCACAGTGTGGTCTGTGGATTATCCAGACTACTCGGAGATTGTTTCCAAAAGACACACTGCTGCTGATTTTTTACTTTTTATTTTTTTAAACACACGAACTGTTAAAATTTAGTTCTATTCACGTTTTCTCTACTGAACTTCCCAAGATGCCCCCTTTTTCACCTCAGACCATTACAAATGCAAGTCTGGCCATCACTTTGACCTCTGTCACTGTTTTGTATACGTGTTTCATGATTCTCTCGCATTTTGCGACGCAATTTAATATTAGACTAATCCTAACCGTGAACCTTGAACCTTGCTTCTTATGTGCTGGGATACGGAAAAACAAACAGATGTCAAAGGTCATAAATTATGTGTGAAATTAGTCCCTAACAGCAGACTAAAAACAGTTCTCTCTCGGCAGAAGTACGCCTCTAGACTCTTGTAGCAGTTCTGGGGAATTGCCCTTTGAAATATTATTTTCATGGCATTTCAGCTTTAATAGACAATGAAAAGTCGGATAACGAGGGAGATAGCAGGATGTGGCAAGTAACAGATGGTCATGCTGATTTCGACCCCAAGACATTACATTTACATGTTTGGCGCCCTTCCGACAAGACTCGAAAAATATTCCAAGACATATATGCCAGAAATTGCCCTTTTAGAGATTCCTTACCCCTGCGATATTCACAATCGGCGTGCTTAACTGTGGTTTGTGCCCTAAATGATTGAATTTGTGAGGTTTCACAAGGGTGATGATAAGCATTTGCGTCAGCTATGCATGGATAGAAATGGTGACTGCCTCACAACAATATCAACATGTTGTGGTGAAAAAAAACAAGCAATTAGTCGAGACAAATACACCGGATAGCACGTTTAAGTTCAGTGGTTTGTCAAATACCAGATTAGAACCTAAGTTACTTGGCGAATGCCTTCTCTTGCTTAAAAAAGAGTGACAATTTAAGAAGCATTCATAATTTTCAATACTGTGAAAAACACCTAACAAAAAACATCTTAGTCTAAATTTTTAATATAGTCTTGACCATTAATGAAGATACCAAGTAGAAACAACTCACTTCTTTCAAACCGTCTTACTGCAACCTAAAATCTAAAAGGAATTGTGAACATTTTCTAGTGCTTTTTTAACCCACATCTAAATTTTTAAAAATATTTTTTGGGGAGCTTTTTGCCTTTATTCAAAGCAGTAGAGAGAGAGAGGAAAGGGGGGAGAAGAATGGGGAGACACCTGCAGCAAATGGTTATGAGCGGGATTCAAACTCACGACTGCTGCATTGGGGACTACAGCCCCGTCTCATCCGGTCGAGCTTCCAGGGCATCCCACACATCTTAATTTTAAGAAATAGCTAGCTAAACACCATTTCAACTATTTTACCCATAAAAGACCATCACCTGTCCTGCTCTGAGGTTAAGAGATTGATTTAGATTTAGAGACAATGTATTTTGTGAAAAATGGGGAAAGCTGTTTTTCCCGCAGTTGCATTTTTTTTGTACAGACGTGTGATTAATTCAAGGAAAACCCCAAACCCTTGACCCTTACACTGAGGGGATCTGGGGGGCATTTTGCTGGCACGGCTTGGGTCCACTTGTCCCATTACAGGAAAGGGTCACTGCATATCAATACAAAGTTGTTCTTAGTGATCATCTATATCCTGTGCTGGAACATTTCTATTCTAATGGTGTCTTCTAGGGCAACGATGTTCCATCCATAGGGTATGAAGGGTCACTGAATGGTTTCATGAGTATGAAAATGATGCGAATCATACCTTACGGCCTTTACAGTCACTAGATCTCAACTCAGTTTGGTGATTTTGGACTGATATGTTCGGCAGGGTTCTCCACAATCATAATCAAAACACCAAATCAGGGAATATCTTGGTAGATTATGTTGTTCTCCTTTAATTTGTCACCAGTCTATACAT